AAGAAATTTGGACAATGCAAACACAACCAAAGACCCGAGGAATAACAAACAATGGAGTATCATAAAAATAGTACGAGGTGAGCAAGGCATCTTCCCAATAAACTTTAGTTAAGTAACATGAGGTCAGCAAGGCATCTTCCTAATAAACTATTGGAACATGCATATTAATTAAAAGGGCGCAGGTTACTTCAAGTAAATGCTGATTGTTCCTTTTAGTAACCCCATTCTAACAAGGAATATATGCACAAGAAGTTTGATGTAAAATTTCATTTTGAGCAAAATAATTTAAAATTCTCTGGAAAGATATTAGTAGAGCATTATTACATGTAAAACACGAACATTCCTATTGAATTGAGTTTGGATCTCTTTGTAAAACATTTTAAAAATGGAGAATATCTTAGATCTCTCTTTTATTAAATATGACCATGTCGTTCGTGAATAATCATCTGTGGAAGTTACAAAATATCTATGATCAGACAAACTTCGTAGTCTAATGGGATGACATATATTGGAATGAACAATTATAAACAGAATACGTCGCCATTTATTAATTCTAGGACGAAATGACATCGTATGACACTTGCGTAATTGACAAGCCTCACACTCAAAGTAGACACAAACTCTAAAGAAGGGGCTAACAACTTCAAGTTATTGAGAGGAGGATGGCGTAAAGGGGCTAACAACTTCAAGTTATTGAGAGGAGGATGGTCTAGCTGACAATGCCATAAGAAGGGAGAAGCAGAAGAGTGAAGAGCAGCACCAATCATGCTATGATCCAAATAGTATAGCCACCTGATTCATACCTGCCACCAATCGTCCTCTGTCCTTAGACCCTGAAAGACACAAGATGCATAAAAAAGTTACTTGGCAGTGGGGAGATTTGGTTGATTTACTCGTACAATAAATTGGAATGAAAGTTTGGAGCATATAGCACGTAGGACACAGAAAAGGAAGAAGTAGGCATAGTTGAACCTTGTTTGGATGCACTAGATAACGATTCACTAGCCAAAATAACAGAGAAATCATGAAATACATTTATCTAGAAATACCAAAACAGTGGACTCACCAATCATGTCGTTGTCAGCTCGAGTTAATTACCCACGGAGTAGGTTTTTGAGATGCAAAAAGCACAGAGGTAACCGAGTTAGCAAGGGTGGCAATGGAAGTGGAGATGCAAAAATGGGCCGCTGTACTTGTTTAACAATTTTTGTATATTCTTTTCTTGAAAGTACAACATAGTCTCCAACAAAATTTACCTGTTATTGATGATCACTGGATTTATTTAGATAAGCATCATCACTCTCTTATTTGTAACTAACCTGATTTGCCCAAGCAGGTTTTCCAACCTTATCTCAACACTTATCAACCATATAATTTGTACACCCATAATGCGTATGCTTTCAGGTTGAACGACCCCTGCCTCCATTACCTCTACCATTGCCTCTTCCTGAGTCATGACCACGTTCCCAACCTCTGCCTTTATCACTTCTTCCCACAAATGTATTAAGTGCTAATCCATCATTGACAATTGTGTTTGAAGAAGGCTTAGGAGTGGCAGATACATTGATACATTGAATGCATGCATAGACGGTATTGAGGGACAATAGCTCACTGCCTACCAAAATCTGTCCCCTAACAGAATGGTACTCGGGATCATAGTTATTGGGAGCGCCCATGTAGGGGTCCGATTTTGCCCCGTAATCTTGATCGTGCGCTCCAAGTGACTGGATCTCTATTCCAAACGCTTCCTTGTGTATTTGGATCTCATACCTGGAGTTATGGGAACTCGATTCCTATTATTTGGGAACGAGTTCCCTAGCAAGTGGGATCCAGATCCGCATGCCCAAGATCATAGCTCCAATCTCATTCGGAACCACGATTCTATCATACTAGGTTTCGAGTATCCTATACAATGGAGCGAGCGACACCTACAAAGTTTATTTTATTCATGCCTCAAATCATCCAGCAATTGCTATACGGTTCCCAAAATTTTAGCCTAAAACAATCAACCTAGTGTGGTGTTTTGCACCTTTTGCTAGTAATGCACAATATGCTCATGCATGAGCACAATGCACGTGGTCAATCGTCGATTACGAACTTAGTCGAAATGGGAAATTTAGCCCATCCTTGAGTGTCAATAGTATAGACTTGAGATGGGTAAATCTTGCCCAGGAGTGCCAGTTTGAAGAAGGATATTATATAAGTGGTGCACTGTCTACCACAATAATGTTGTTTATTGAATTTGGTGTGAAATCATGCTCCAATGCATCACAATAAGGTTTTCATTGAATTTGGTATGAAATCATGCTCCAATGACATCAAAAATTCAATGGCAATCTCAATGCCATGAATTTTGACTACATTGATACCTTGGAACCGTGGATTTGGAACCGTGGATTTGGAACCGTGGATTTGGAAAGAGTTAAACATGCTATCTAATATAACTCGCTCCCAATTTACAATATACAGAATTAGTGAACTACGGAAACCCCGATCCTAGGAACAACACAACGTAATCCTAACTCTACAAACCTTGATCCTAGGAACGACACAACGCGTTCCCTTTTGGTAGGGATCTCGTTCCCGTCCAGACAACAATGCGCTCCCTAGAAGTCATGGAACTTGGTCCCATGCCCAGACCATGTATGGAGCTCGCTCAGCCACCTAAGAAACTTTGAGCTAGACTCGCTCCGCACTCCTGTTCTCGTTCTCGATATCTATGCTCGGGATTAAGACTCAATTAAAATTTGGCAACTCTGAATTCTTCATGTTGCTTCCTCTGTAATTCAATTTAGATTTAGCTCTTCCTACATACCTTTAAGGTTATAATATCCACTCACACTCTTACTATCTTATTGCAATTGAAACATTTTTCAAAGAATTCATGTACCCAAGAGATATTCTTATTTAATCAATGTTTCTTTCGAAGTGTCCCAAATTTCATGTCTTTTTTGTTGTACAAAATTGAGGGGTGTATTTGGAAGTTAAATGTTAAACAGATGAAGGGCCAGGATGTAATTGTGGTAAGGGTTTCTGAAGGAGAAAATTAGGTTTTTGGGTTTTTTCTTCAATAAATATATAAATTTTGCATAAGAAAAATAGAGAGAAGAATTTGTTTTAAGACGTGTAAAAAGATATTTTTGGGGTTGTAGACATGCATCTTAGAAATTCTGGCTAAGGCTTCTGGGAATCCTATTAGCTAGAATTTCTAGGGGTGGGTGTCTACAATTGCCCCTCTTTGCCATTTCACCTAGGACAGCGGGTGAATGGCAAAGTAGTCACCGGAGACATGATGGAAATAAGTGGGGTCATTCTTTTGAATAGTACCCTTTGGGAAGGGGGTACACTGATGGATATTTCTGATCTATAAGATATTGAACTGGCACTACGTTATCTTTGAGGGTGTGATATTGAGAGGTCTTGACAATTGGGATCCGAAGTGACAGTTAGCAGAAACTGTGCTATCTTTGAGCTGGTGACTTCTTATTGAGGTCACCCCATTGTAACCTGGGACGCTAGTGTAGTCATCTTTGGCTTTAGACATTTACTATTGTGCATAGTTTTCAATGGAATGGGATTTGAAATTTGAAGAAGAAAGGATTGATGGTGAATTTCTGGCTAATTGAATTTCTTTTCACCTTTTGATTCTAAATTCTAAATTCTAAAGAACCACTGGTTCAGGCTAAGGTTTTTGGGAACCTATGGGTTGTTCTTCCTAAAACTATGTCTATCTAAGGATTTCAACCTATTCTTCAAGACTTTCAGAGAAGGTGAAACACAGAAACATCATGTACGGGCTTGTCCAACTCCTTCATTTTAGAAAATATTTTTAGCAATTTTGTAAATAGATAGCATTTTTTGAAAACAATACCAAGTGCCTGGACATATGATTTTAGGGAAGAAATTAATATTTTTTAAAAAAATCACAGACACAAAGGCGAAAGTTTTTGAAAAGAGAGAATTTTCTTTTTGTTTTTTTTTTTATTTTTGAAAAGAGAGAATTTCGAAAACAGGTTGGTAAGTAATCTGGGTTCATGCCAGCATGGAGTTTTTTTTCGAATATGAGCTTGCCTAGCCTTTGCTTGGGACCTTTACGACGAGGGATCTTCAAGTACTCCCTCATCTTCCAATCTTAGCTCTTGTGTCACAACTCAAGGGAGAGTTTTCTAAAGTTTTTGAGCAAGCAAATGTTTTGGATAATATGGGATATTGCCCCTGAGTGCTTAGAATCTCCTTGGACTTTCAATTTCGTTCATCAAACACTACTCATTTGAAGTTCAAATAGTTGAGAGCCCTCAAGTTTACCAGGACTAATGCTTTCAAATTTCTTTCGCTTTTTGACACCATTTTGACTTCTCTTCAGAAGTTGAGAAGAATTTCTAGGGATATTGGGGAAGAGACAAAAAGAGAGATTTTTATTTTTATCGTCCTCAGGGTCCCTTTCAGGTGTTCATCCCGGTGGCCTTTTTTCCAACGCTCCGGGTTCCTTTTAGATTTTCTACTCGTGGAACTTTTTTTTTTTTGTTAAACTTTTGAAGAGGACAAAGGAGGAGAAGAGTCTAGTCATTGGTGTTTTTTCCTTGTTGCGGCACTTCACCCAAAAAGCAAATATGAACTCGATCATCCTTCCCCCTCCAGTTGGCATGGAGATTCCAATCTTGGTTATATTTAGATTTTCCTTGCCCCTGGTTGATATCCCACACTTTCTTGACAAAGGTTGCTGAATTCCTGTTGAATCTTTCTTCCTTGAATTGCTTCACTTGGTCCTTGATCTTCAGACTCGGAGTTACTCTCCGCTTCCTAGTCCTTCAATCTCCTATTGGGTTGGCTGAGTTCATTTCTTCTTTCTTTCTTTTTTTTATTTTTTTTCATATTTTTTTTCTTATGACTCCTTAGGTCGTTAAGGTCACGGAGTTGGGTGCTTAAGCAGAGCGTGGATGCCCCACTACGCTTATTTAAGAGGGAGGAGGAAATGATCACCCTATCGCTTATTGGTAATTTTTTTCATTTGCAACTTCATGTTGGCCTTGTAGATCTAAATAGGATCAAATTTTAGGGTGGACTCACTTGCAGACCTAGAGAAGGGGTATATTCTTTCATCATTTTATTTTTATTATTATTTTTCTGGTTTGTTTATTTTCTTTCTACTTGCATCTACATCAACTATGGATTTGGCATGGACTATGGATTTTCTAAGGGATATTTGTGATGAAGCTTTAGAGTTTTACGTGATTATGATTTGAGTTCAGGTACGGTTAAAATATAATTTATGTCCAAGATGTAACATTATTTGTTACTCTCTTTTACTTAGTAATGAATGTGGTGAAACTTCCTAGTGTGGACCTACCCTAAGAAGCTGGTTTGTGGTTTAAGCGTTTCTATGTAAAGTATGTTTCAGGAAAATGGCTCGATACCTTCCTCCTTGAAGAGATCTTCGCTACAGTTTGTTTTGTGCATGTTATCAATATCAGATTCTTAATTGGATCTTCAAATTGTTGACTTGTTTTGGAGAATAAATCTTTTGCACTGGAAACATAGTATCAATTTGCTGGTTAACCTTTTGTTTTGCGCCCATTTCAATTTCTGAGTTGCCCTGTAGCAAGAAGACCAGCAAAAACTTTAGTGTAAAACATCATATGGAGTACTTTGTTTAGACCTTCAAATGGTTGGGGTGGTTCTTCTTCTTCTAAAGGGATTGATGGTTGTGGGGGTTCAATTCTCAAGTTCAATTGAGAATGCTCAGTTGAAACTTCATCTGGATCTCACATCAGGTCCTTGTTGTGACGTCAACTCATTATAGATTCCAAGTGGTTTTGTGATACCTGTACTCCTGGACATTTCCATCTTAGAGAGGAGTTCTGAGGTAGGAATGTCCAAGAGTGAAGTGATAAGTCCACAAGCCATGGTTTGAATGTCCAATGACGTTCATTGCATCAATATAGATTCATAATGGTGTACAACATTATTTGGTATGGAACCAAACTTAATAGAAGTTAGAAGGTTAGCTGGAAAGCGATCCGATTTTGTGGTGTGAGAGGATTAGTCCTAATGGAGATGGCATCCTCTGGGACAGATAATTATTGAAAAAATCATAGTTGTTGGAGGCAGAAGTGGGTTCGATAGCGAGATCAGTTTAGGGAACTCGGAACTGCCATAGGGTAGAAGTTCTCTGGGGTTAGGATCAATGTCCATAAATTCAACCAGTTAAGGAACTAAATCCTAGGATACTTGGGAGTGTGGTCCCATTTCACTGGGATTGAGGTTTTGGCTTGGAGGGATCTAAGTTCCTCTGTACATGAAACAAAATTAATTAGTAGTATATGATAAAATTACGATCAATGACTACTCGATCCATTATCACACACCTTAGTTTATTACCAATGCCATAATTATAGAACTCCAATTTAATAGAATACAATTTAACAATATATTATAAATTGGCTTACTATGATATTAAACTATAGTTTTTTAATACTCTAATTCTAGTATATCACAATGTGAGATGCACTACAATTTAACATATACTAAAGAAATAAATATATAAGACTCTACTACCAAGGAGAGGAGCAGTAGTTCAATCAAAAGTATAGGTCCTCTCCTTGGAGGGATCCAATGAGTATGTAGACCGAGATCCCATTTTATAGAGAGTGAGATCCCTATTTCTCCAAACCGAGTTCCCTCTAAGATCCCTTATGGAAACCGCGAAAGTATAGGTCCTCTCCTTGGAGGGATCCAATGAGTATGTAGACCGAGATCCGATTTTATAGAGAGTGAGATCCCTATTTCTCCAAACCGAGTTCCCTCTAAGATCCCTTATGGAAACCGCGGGAACGAGTTCCTGAGGTGGGACCGTGACCTTACCCCCAGGTTCCCTTACTTATGAAAAAAATTGTTGGTTATTTGACTATAGTTCTGAGAATGCCTGCATCCTCATGGAAACTTTTATGGTTTGAGTCTAGGTTCCTAAAGCCTCAAACATAACCGGAGGTTTTCAATTCTCTGGGACAATTCAAGGATTCAAAAACCAGACCGCCCGATGCCTAGGCAGCCCAAGACGGGCAGGATGTACCTGGGTGGGCGCCCAGGGCTGTGGGCCCTTTTCCGTTTTTTTAAGTTGCCCAAAAGGGTGAAGGGGTTCATTTTGACCCGAAGATAGTATAAAAATGTTATAGGGGATAGTTTTAACCCCCAAAAGTTATTTAAAAAAAAAAAAAAAACCCTCAATCTCTTTGCTATACTTTTTTTTGAGAATCGGAAGTATTTTTTTTGGATTGAAAAAGTTTCCTAAACTGTTTTTCTCATTTAAATTATTTTTGTATGATTTGAATTTTGAAATTTTGAACAAGTTTATTCTCAACATGTGATATGTCATATGTTTGTATATAAAAACGTATGTTACAATATTTTTAAATGCAATACATACAACATAGACACAAATATATGCATATATGCGCGTTTGGACAACAAATATATGTATATATTTTAAAAATTTCTACTACAGGCCGCGCGACCCGCATGGTCGTTAGGCGCCAGGCCAGCCGCCTAGCGTTTTTTGAAACCTTGCTGGGATATTTAATTGAATTTGGTGCATGTAATTCTAATGCATTGAAAGGTGTGTTTGGACAGTTACATGAAAGTTTGGGATGTTTGGATCTGGTCTTGAAAGTTTATTTTTCTTTTCTCTCAGACTTCTATGTTTTTGGCTAGGTAACTTTTTACCATTTGACATATTTTTGATCAGGAATTTTAAACACATTATTACTTTAAAGGTCTTCTACTAATCCTGCATCTGATGTGTGCTACTTGCTACTCAACAGGTTGAAGAGCTTTACTCCTTAGATCTGGATTCCCTCAACAGTCTTAGGTACACCTATATCTTGAACAGACTTTACATCAATTTACTACTTCCCCATCCTTTTGGCAATTGAAACTCTTTGATGTATGATATTGGTAGTGACAATACAGGCCTGTGTATGGTCTGATATTCCTTTTCAAATGGAGGCCAGGAGATAAAGATGAACGACTTGTAATTAAAGATCACAGCCCAAATTTATTTTTTGCCAGTCAGGTAAATTGGTCTTGTGCCTTTGAGCATAACAAGAGAGCATGTAATTACCTGCATAGATCATACAGGCGGCCCAGATGGCAACAATACCTGGGCTCACCTTTTTCTCCCTAAAATGACTGTTTTAACTCTGATCTGGTATTCAAGAGATAGCAGAAAATAAGGGAGAAAAGGTAAACTGGAGGTAAATTATATTTAAAAGGGTTTTTTGGTCCTTGTACTTCCATATTTCGAGTTTGCATACTACCCACATGATTATGCAGGATTTTTAGGTACTGATCTCTATATTTTCCCATTATGATCTCACTTTCATGGTCTAATTTGCCGATAATTTTTACAGGTAATCAACAATGCTTGTGCAACCCAGGCAATTCTCTCTATCTTACTGAACTGCCCAGAAATTGACATTGGTCCTGAGCTCTCGATGTTAAAGGAATTTACGAAGAATTTCCCGCCTGAGCTAAAAGGACTGGCCATTAACAATAGTGAAGCAATTCGCACTGCTCACAACAGTTTTGCTCGGCCTGAGCCCTTTGTGGCCGATGACCAAAGACCTGCTGAAAAAGATGACGATGTGTACCATTTCATAAGCTATCTGCCTGTTGATGGGGTTCTTTATGAACTCGATGGATTAAAAGAAGGCCCCATTAGCCTTGGAAAGTGCCCTGGAGGAAGAGATGGTTTGGAGTGGCTTCAAATGGTTCAACCAGTGATTCAAGAACGCATAGAGAAGTATTCAAAAAATGAGATTAGGTTTAACCTTATGGCTATCATAAAGAATAGGAAAGAGATTTACACAGTCGAAGTTAAAGAGCTCCAAAAGAGGAGAGAGTGTATCACTCAGCAGCTTGCAGCTGCTCAAGCGGAGAGATCGGGGGGGAGAATAGATTCGAGTACCCAAAGTAGTGTGATTGACGGGCTAAAGAAATCACTTGCAGATGTGACCTTGGGTATCGAGAATGTGACTGAGAAGATATTGATGGAGGAGGAGAAGTTCAAGAAGTGGAAGACTGAAAACATAAGGAGGAAGCATAATTACATTCCCTTCCTGTTCAATTTCTTGAAGATATTGGCCGAGAAGAAGCAGTTAAAGCCTCTTATTGAGAAGGCAAGGCAGAAAACCAGCACAAGATGAGAGGTAAGTCTCTCTAGTTCTTATGATAAAGCTTTAAAGGTATGGAGGTTCTAGTTGGGTGTAGTTTAGGGGGATTTCTTTTGGATACCCTAGCGCCTGAACTTTCTGATGTGAGAGTATGCGTGACAAGGGCTGCTGATAGAGATTGCTCAGGGGCGCGAAAGAGGAACATTGGTGTAATGCAATTGAGGATTTGGTTTTGCTGCCCCATCTCTGTGGTAAAGGCTTGTTAGAACCCTTAATTCCCATGTTTAAGTCGGTACTTTGTGTATACTTTCAAGGTTGGGCCCATATTGTGTTTTACTTTCACCTCCTATTTCTGCTCATACTTTTCTTGACGTTGCATCTCTGGAATCCTTTCTTCATGAACCCATGTTTGGTTTGCATGAAATTTTTTTTGTGATAATATATGTGATTAGGTATGGGATTTTTCTACACCAATTGGTCAATGGCAGGAAAGTGTATCATAAAAATAGACCAATTGGTATGAAAGAATTTCCATGTCTAATTACATCAGGGAGTTCTTTCATATGAAAATATTTTCAGGAAAAAAAATTTCTTTATAAAATTTGATTGGAATCAACATGCCCTTATGTGGCAGGGAGTATTGAATGTGATGGCTTCATATACGATATGTATTTGGATGTTGATCTGCACTGTCCATCTACGTTGATGACTGTATTTAGGCAACTCAATGTTAACTTACAACTGTTCACCGCTGTTTATCGTTCATTTGGAGATGGAGATCAGCGTCCAATTGCATCTTGTGAAACATGGGGGTATGAAAATTTAAAGAAAATATGTCAGAAAGAGCAAACAAGCGACGGTAAGACAAGTTTATGGATGTGTAGGAGAGCTATAAAAAAATACGGTAGAGTGCTAAAAAAAAGAAAAACCTTAAAAGTCTAGTCACGCTTCCATGATTTCAAATTTGAAGAGCAACTAAATAGTGTCTTAGGAAAATTGCAGATATCTCTCAAAAATAGACTTTTTAGACAACCTCCCTCCAACCAAACTAAAAAGCGTTCTACCGATAGAGAATGAATCCGAATCATGAAATGAGCTTCCATTTCGAATCCCCTATTGTATATAGGATAAGTATGGGTACAAAGATAAATGGGTACAGGTACAAAAATTGGATAATTATCTCTTTTTTTTATTTTATTTGTTGGGTAAGGTAAGTAAAAAGGAAAAGATTCGAAGTTTTGTTTTTTTTTTTTTTTCGTTTGACCTATGACAAGAAAAACTTGGGAATTTTAGATTTTACAACTTTTACCTAAAAACTAAGTTTTATAGCAAATACCATCTCAAATAAAAAAGTATTAAAATTTGGAACAAAAATACCCTTTAGTCAAAAAGTGACATTTCTCAACGTGATTTGCTTACGGTCTGGCACGTCTATGTTTCGGTCCGGCAGTTGTGGCTTGATCTGTCTTAATGCGGTCCGGCACTTTCCGTACTCGATCCGGCACTTTGGCTTATATTTCTTTTGCGGTCCGGCAATCTAGTGATAGGCTTCACTAGGTGAAGAGCAGTTTGACAAGCAGTTCCCTTGGTCCGGCATTATTATAAAGGGAATTTTTTTTTAAAATTTTTTTGACTTTTTGCTTTGGAGGAGGGAAAGTTTGGTTGGGAGAGATTGTCTAGAAAATCTACTTTTGAGAGATATTTGCAATTTTCCCTAGTATCATTGTATGCATTTTCTAAAATTATTCCAAATCAAAAGGTGACATAATTCAGTTGTGAAAGAGGATTTTTAAGATAAAATTTCTAAAAAAAAAAAGAAGGAAAAATTGGTCGTAGAGGGATCGATGACCCAAAGTTCTCTCTCTCCATCCGGGTGATCTGTTTGGGTGTGTTTCGCACCACAAAAACTCGTATGGAAAACTCCATACAACTTCCGAATAGGCATAGCCTAGGTTTGGATGTGCATTACCTATAGAAATTAGTTCTCAAAGCTGAGTATTGCCCATGATAATTAAAAAAGGATTGAACTTGTGGTAGAATGAATGGAAGGATGACAAAACATGAACCTTACAAACTTATGTAACAATTGGATGATGGAAGAAGCCCATCGTCCAATTACCATATGCTAGTGCTAAAAAGAAAATCAGATGCCAAAGGAAGCACTCAAAAGCCTTGCCTAGAGGAGTATAAAACTCTCTAGAGTATGATCAGGGCCAAAATAGCCAATAAAATCATCGCTATGCAGTTTGGATATTAATAGAAGAGACTGGTACTACTACGATATTATGGAGTAGTGATTCTTTGATTCATTCATCGATCTAACCACGTGTTGATACTGGACACACATTCGAATCTTTTATAAACATGTACGACACTCTCACTTATTAGCATGTCCCTTTTTTGGACGCATTCTACATTTGCAATTTCTTGTTTTTTTGTTTTTTCAATGATTAAGATTTTATTGTAGATTTTAGAATATAAATTAGTTTAAAACAAAAATAAAAATATTTTTACTTCTTTAACCAGGGTTTATGAATGGGGAAAGCTTTCTATGTTCCCCCTACAACATAGAAATTCTATCCTCTCCTTACCGTCAAGCTGTCCATTTTTCATTAAGAGAGCCACTCATTGTTTGATATTAGATTCGAGGTCTTAAAAGTATTTTTTTTTTAGTTTTTTTAATGCAATTTTTTTGAATATGAAATTTGGTATGTGCCATCTTCTCATTGGGGCGCACCTATAAAAAATATTAACAATAATTTTTCGATAAAAAATAATGACCAAAATACCCCTTGAAACTTTCAGGGGTATTTTGGTTATTTTATTTTATCCAAAATATTTTTTTTATATATATTTTTCGTTAGTGTGAGTTTAATAGAAGAATAGATGTCCAAAATTTGTTGTCAAAATAGATTATAGAAAAAAATTAAAAATAAAATAATATAAAGACATGACATTGTGATTGGGGCAATCTTAATCCTCTATTAAAAAATGGATGGTTGGATAAAGGGAGGATAGAACTTCTACGTTATAGGAGGAACATAGAAAGCTTTTCCTAACAAATGTCACTATTCCTATAAACTTATCAAAAATTCATATCGAGAAAATCCACCCTGGCATGTCCTTGACAAGTGAGTAGCTGTATGGTTCTCCCGAATGAGCATAGTGTACATGCCCTCATTGAAAACTCGGGCCCACTCATATATTCTCACACATATTCTCACACAGGGGCACTATTGAAAATAGAAAAAATTTCGTATAGAACTTTAATTCTTCGTATTATTTCATGGTAGACCCTCATTCTGTTTTTTTTTTTAAGTGACATAAGAAAACCTCTAAAAATTTCACCATATCCTATCATCTCTTATCTTTCTCTTTTATTGACTTTTGATCATAAAAATTAGTTTTAATAAATATTTTTTGTTATTTCAATCTAAAAACTTTTTTAATTAATAAAAAGAAAAAAAGAATGGTTAAACTTGTTTTTGGGATGAAATAATATAAAAATATTTATTAAGACTAATTTTGTTCGTCAAAAGTCAATAAAAAAGAAGTATAAGAGATAAAAAAGGTACGGTAAAATCTTTAAAAATTTCCTTACAACGGTTAAAAGAAAAAGGGAGGATAGTCTATCATGAAATAACATGAAAAATTAAAATTCTATACGAAATTTTTCCTTGAAAATATAACGTATATTCGTACAGTTGGATGAGGAAAACATCGAGGTTCTAGATATTCAAAATTCAACGTTTCCCAAAAAAGGTAAAGAAAAAATAGGTGATCCCGAAGATCTTTTCACACAGTTGGCGCGGTGGCGGCAGTCCTCTGTGTCTTAGTACCAAATTTGAATAGTACTTCTCTTTCTCTCTCTCTCTCTCTCTCTCTCTCTCTAATTTGGCTGCAGCGTCCACGAAGCTTTCACAACCCAAGACATATTTGTCTTGCTCCTTGAATGCTTCTTCTCCCTCCCCACTCACATTTCTCTTGCTCTCTCTCTCTAACTAAAGTTGCTGGCCCCTCTCTTTATCAAACACAGGATCTGGCTGTCGGCCTCTTACAAAACAGGAACATTTGTTGTGTGACTACCAAATGGAGTTACTGCAATAAATTCAGAATTCAGTTTGATAAATAATCTAAGAGAATTTTGGGAGTTTTCAGGCTTTGGATTTGTAGAGAGTGGAGTCCTGTTAAATCAGGAAACCCACTTTGTTTTTTCTGGTCCTAAGTTGTAGTGAGAAGCAGGAATTGTGCGGTTATGGGTGGGAGCTTGAGAAAACCATGAAACCCCACTTTTCTCTGGTTTTGCGCTGAACCCACATAAGGGAATTCAGAATTGGGAGTTCTTTGTGGAAAAAAATTGGAGTTTCTGTAAACCCAAAAACTCTCATTCTTTACTCTGTTTTGCCTTTTGGCATATCAAGATTCAGCGAGCGAAACAGGAGGAGAGAGAAATTCCAGTGATTTTGTTTGGTGCATTTCAATGGATAATACTGATATTTACAGAATAGGGAGCTTAAGGAGAAATGGCTCCTCAATTTGAAGGAACACAGAAGACGAGTTGTTCTCGAGGTCTTCTCAGGTAGAAGATGATGAAGAGGCGTTACGATGGGCCGCACTCGAAAAATTGCCAACTTATGATAGGATTCGGAAAGGGATTCTCAGTACCGCGGGAGGTGAGGGAAGAGAAGTGGAAATCCATAGCCTTGGGTTTCAAGAAAAGAAGGAATTGATAGATAGGTTGGTTAGAGTTGTAGACGAGGACAATGAGCAGTTTCTTATAAAGCTCAAGAACCGCATACATCAGTAAGACCTCCTACCCTCTCTCCCCTCTCTCTCTCTCTCTCTCTCTCTCTCTCTCTACTACT